ATGTGGCTCTGTGGTCTTCAGAGGAAGAGAGGTCTGAAGAACACACCTGGTGTTGACTGCCCAGGCCTGGAAGTGACACTTCCACTCACAGATCATACAGCAAGAGAGGTTGGAGGGAGGAGGGCACAGATTTCTATGAGCCCCAACTGTCTCACCCAGATTCAGGGTCAAGACTTCATCCTCAGAGTACTGGGAAACCAGCCAAAGTTTTCACAAAGAGTGTGACAAGATCCAACTTACGTTTTAGAAAGCTTCCTCTGGCTGGAGCCAGAGTCAGCCCTGGAGTGAGGGAGCTGGAGGTGGTAGAGCTGTGCTGTGGGAAGTGGCCCCCGCGTGGGAGTCCGCCACTACAGTCATGACATGTTTACATGTTTGCAATTAACTCCTGCAACTTCTACCTTGCAAGCTTAGCCAAAAAATTTTTTTAAAGAATTTTCAAAATGCATTTTGTGTCCTTGCTATTCTAGTTGGTGCTTGTACACATGCTTACACATACATTGCCTGACAGCCTGACTCCCCAAAGCCAGGGGACTGTACTCTAAGGGACCTTCAGGGGTAAATGGGCTGCTTGCTAATTTGAGAACCTCATTGTCATAGAAGATGCCCTTAACTCAAGTCTGTAACTGGGACCCAATAACAAGAGTCCCTTGTGTCAAAGGGACTTCCTGCTGTTTCCAAACATCCCAGCGTGCTGCCTGTCAGAAGCACGCTTGGGTGCAATATAAAAGCATGCTGTGCTGAGATTGACCCCCATTTGTCTGCCATTCTTTATGGTTCGTGAAGTACTTTCTGAGCCATTGCTTCATTTGAGCCTCAGAATCATTTAATCTGATATGAAATCTAATTTAGACCAAGGGACACAGGTGCTCAGAGCCTCTTTGTCTTACACTAGTCAAGAGCCCTGGGAACAACGCGGAGTTGCCAGTGCTGGGTTAGTGGCTCCGTCATTTTAGCTGTGTGATTTCAGAGTTTTGGTGCATAAACTATTGATAACTGCATGCAAAGTTATTTTGAAGCTCCAATAAAGCAGTGTTGGTGAAAGCATTTTGCAAACTGTGATGCAACACCCACACGTTGTTATCCAGACTTTTTATGTCACTGAAAGTGTTTCCCAAGTTGTGCTAAAAGAATCCATGTGGATGAGAACGGAAGATTAAGTGCCTCAGTAGTTATGTCCTGTGGCTATTCTCAGACTATTTGACTTTGAACTTGATCGCTTGGATTTTCTTCATGGCTTGGGCAGCTATGCCCATGCTCACCTGTGACCAAATCCCTCCCCCTTATTTCTGTGGGTGGGCAAGGGCTGGGGTGGAGTTTGTTAGGGACTTTCTTGGAAACCTTACCACCAGATTTCAGTGACATGACCAAGGTTTTATGGAGACATGTGAATTCCAGGTATAGAATCAAGCCTGAAAGTGAAATGGTCAGATGGACCTTGGGATGAACCAGAGGCATTTGCTAATCTGGTGGGTGGGTGCCCCAGCTCTAGGTGGTTGATACTTTGGGGGAAATGCAGCATTGTGTGGCTAATAATTTTCAAATTATCTGAAAATTATTTTTTCCAAATGTGAAAGTCACATTTTACATTCTTATGGTAACTACACTGGCTGTTCAGACTAGGAAGTGAATTTTGGACCAGGACTCTAGGCTTGTCATTATAAACTGGTAGGTACCACCTTCCACAGGGTTGTTAGGACACCAGATGAGAAAACAGAATGCCCGGCCCACCACGGGGCCTGGCCGCAGGAACCCAGTAGGAAACATCAGCTACTAGTGTTCTGCCGTTATTTGGTAATCCCCAGGCTTCAGAGGTTTTAATCCTGGTTCATTCGGGGTCCGTCACCCATTTGATTAAAAGGAATCACGGGATTATGCAGGCCTTTCAAGCTTGGTGGTCAAGTATATAAATAGTAAGGGGTTTTCCTACCAGAAAAAGAGGACTATTCTTCCCTTCCCTCAAACTTCATCATTTCAGGGAAGTGGTGAATTTTTCTTAAAAATAGATTTCAGCAAAAAATAAATGACTCTACAAGTGTAAATATGATGCTAATCGTCCCGGTGTTGTCAGGTGACATAAGACTGGGGGATATGGTACTCCCAACCCTTCCTCCCGCCACATATCGGTGGAGCATCACTGGCAAGTCACCTGGCGGACTCCGCCCCCTCCCCGCATCTGGCCCCCAGGGGAGGTGGCAGAAAGGGCGGGAGCGCGTGGCTCAGACAGCACCAAGGTCAAGGCGGCAGGGCGGGCTCCGTCCCGACTTCTCCCAGCCAGGCCAAGGGCCCTGGAGGACCCTAAGCGCCCAATCGCTGAAGGCCGGGTTCTGCCATTTCCAGCCAGGGACCTTGGTTTCCGAAATTTCTTAGAGCTGTTTCCTCTTTTGGGAAATGGAGTAGCCGAGGCTGCTAATGGCTGGGACGGGGCGCACCGCGAAGAGAGACTACAGCCTCAGAGGGCCGAGGGCCAGTCTTGGGCCCCACAGAAGCTAGCTAGCCTCGGGCTGCTGGCCGCACCAGGTAGTGCCGTCAAGCCACCAGCCCGGCGACCCTCCGCAAGGCCCCGGCTCGCGCGGATTCTAAAATGAGGACAAAGCCCGCCCGGCTCCAGCGTGCGTGCGGCGCTGCAGCCAATGGGACGTCGGAGCGGGGTTGAGTGACGGGCCGACGAGGCCAATGAGCATG